CAGGCAGTGCCAGCCCTGCTGCTCCTGCTCTGCTGCCCCTGGGCCAGTGCCAGTGAGTCAGGGCTTTGCTGGGGTCCAGCTGGCTCCTTTGGGGCGCTCAGCAGCCCCCGGCTCATGCTGTGCTGGGGTGTCTTGTAGGTGCTCTGCGGGGTGGGATTGTGGGGGGCCACGAGGCGCGGCCCCACTCGCACCCGTACATGGCGTTCCTGAAGATAGCAGAGCTGGGGGGCTGCGGGGGCTTCCTGGTGGCCCCTGACTGGGTGATGTCAGCTGCACACTGCATGGGGTGAGTATTGATGCAGGGGTTTCATCCCTTTCTTTCTCCCCTAACCTGGGAGCTCCTTCCCTGGAGCAATTTTGGAGCAGGTCCCTCCTGTGCTGGGCAGCTCTCTCCACCTGCCTGCCAAAATGAGGTGGGGAGGGGGTGACACCCAGCCCGATTTCCCCTTTCCCCCTCCTTCTGCCATGGCCAGGAATATCACAGTCATCCTGGGGGCTCACAACATCCACGAACCAGAAAAAACCCAGCAGGTCCGGGGAGTCCTCAAGTACCACGAGCACCCCGAGTACAACCCCAGCACGATGGAAAACGACATCATGCTGCTGCAGGCAAGGAGTTCTGAGGGGACACAGGGGCTGTGGGGCCACCAGGGGCTGGGCAGGCTTCGTCCTGTCTGTCAGCTCCTTCTCCAAAGCTGCTCCTGCCCAAGGTGCTGGAGGCTGGCAGGGCAAAGAGGGACCAGGGAAGGAGCCATGGGCAGGGCTTGGAGCCTCATGTGGCTCTCACAGCAGCTCCCTGAGCCTGCCAGACCCTCCCTGTCTCTGCAAAGTGAGTGCCCTGCTCCCAGGAGGGCAGGACACTCTCTCAACCCCCTGCTTTCCCCCAGCTGACATCGAAGGTCGCTCTCAATGAGTACATCCAGCCCATCTCCCTGCCCAGGACGGGCAGCGACCTCCCCACGGGCACCAAGTGCATGATTGCAGGCTGGGGGCTGATCGACGAGGACAGGGCCACCAACAAGCTCTTTGAGACCAAAGTGTCCATCTACAGCCGCAGGAAATGCACCCTCTTCTACCCACACCTGGATTCTGGCATGGTCTGTGCGGGCAGCTTCCACCAGCTGAAGGATTCCAGCCAGGTACGGGAGGCACAGGGGCTGCTCGGGGAGCAGGAGCAGCTCCCAGGGCAGGTGACAAGCATTTGATCACAGTTCTGGCTCTCTGGATGTCCTGACACCAGCCACAGCCCCTGCCCAGCTCACCCCAGCTCACAGCCCAGGGCAGCCCCTCAAACTGGGTGGGATGTGGGGCAGGACCGGAGCCCCAGGGCAGGGAGGGACCAGGGGTACATCTGTTACCACAGGAAAATGACCTCTAAAATCAATCTCATCTCTCCCCAGGGAGATTCTGGCGGGCCCCTGGTGTGTAATAAAGTGGCACAAGGCATTGTTTCCTTTGGCTACAACTCCCCACCTGGGGTCTACACCCGCATCTCCAACTACCTGCCCTGGATCAAAAAAGTCATGAAGAAGTAGTGGCAGTGGCAGCACTTTCTCCAGCTCTGGTGTGGCCCTGGACACTGCAAGAGCTTCCTTCCTGCCCCTGCTGAAGGCTCAGCTCCCTCCTGTCTCCTCGGGAACCCAAGTGGCTTGATCAGTGCACACCCTTCACTCTGTCCTGGGGCTGCTGCCCGTCCCTTCCTGTCTCAGGGCTGTGTTAAACCCCCCTGGCAGAAGCAGAGATGGCCCCAGATGGCCCAAAAAGAGGCTGTGCCACAAGAAACCCCACTTCCTTCAGAGATAAAACCCTGTTCCTGCTTGAACCTTGCTGCACTTCAAGTAAACTCCAAGCTGCACCTCCCAGTGTGTGTCGTGTTTCTTGTGGCTTTGCCACAGAGAGAAATGGTTAAATCACATTTAACAGGAGGGAGGCTCTGGCTGCTGTACCTGAGAGGCTGCAGGGGCAGCAGCAATCACAGCTCTGCATCCTCAGTCGGTGGCAGAATGAGAAACAAGAGCTAGGCTTGCCCTTCCTGGGGTCACAGGGACCTGGGCTCACAGGGATGGTGAGTGCGCTGCGGGGAGAGAAACTGCCCAGGTAGAAATGGCAAGAACGGTGGGCACACAGTCCCTTCACCAGTTTCAGCGTGGTGCCACCCTCCTGGGAGCACGGGCAGCAGGGGTGCGGGCATCAGCAGCGCCCAGGGCTCGGAGGGTGCTGCTCCCTGCAGAGTGAAGCTGCTCGCTCCGAGGTGCTGCAGCCCGGGGCGCAGAGCAGCCTGCACAGCTGGCACAGCTGGCTGCACTCCTGAGCTGCAGGAGGCTGCGCCGCTGCAGGGAGCTGGACTCGCTGTGCACTGAGCCCCTGGGGGCAGGCAGGTGCCTGCTGACCCCAGGACAGGGTTTAGGATCCCAGAGAGGAGGCACAGCCCAGTCCCAGCTGTCACACACCCGCTGCTCCCAGGCTCTGCAGCCACAGCCCATCCCCATTTCTGCGGGGTAGAAACACAAAAAGGCTTGAACTGAAGGGCTGGTGAAGGACCTGGGTTCACAGAAGTGCCTGACCCCAAAGCCACTTCCTCCTTTCCTCCCTGCAGAGCCCAGCTGGGTCCCTGCAGCAGGCAGGGACAGTCCTGGCTGCTGGCACATCCCTGTCCCCCGAGCAGAGCCTGCTCTGGGGCAGCCCAAAGCTCTCCCTTCAGCTGGGTGACACCCAAGGACGAGTTGTCCCCACAAAGCTGCTCGAGGGTTGTTTTCAGACAGCTCCTGCTTTGGAGTCTGAGCTTCCTCCCGTGGCTGCTCCCTGAGCCCTCAGCTCCTTCCTTGCAGCTCTTGAGTACAGAGAGAGCCAAGAGTTCCCAGGGGGAGATGATGGGGACAGATTAAATAAAGTTGGTTTATCTAAAATTCATCACCAGCCTTTATTCAATATATTACTAAAATACTATAAAACATAGAAATAAAATATTAAATAATAAAAATATAAATATAAATATAAAAATATAAGATGTTCTAAAATACAATTCAACAACACACTGAATCATATTTTATAATACATATTCACAATCACACTTCTCTTCCAAAATTTTTCATCAAAAAAAATGGTAAAAAGTGCTGGTAATGCTAAAAAATGCTATAATGTTGGTAATACTCTCATTACCAACATTACCCTAACCACAAACAACAATCTCATCAATTTTACCATCAAAATATTCAAACTTTACAACAACAACTTAACCTTAATAACAATAATACTCATTCAATTATTCCTACATACCTTAAAATTTTTTTTTAAATTAAAAAAAATTGTTCCATAATTAGAGTTCCAACAATTGGTGAATGAGTGAGTGCACAAGTCCCTGGCAGGGGTGAGGATGTTCTGTGATGTCAGGAGGAGACTTTGTGAGTGGGTTTGTGGTGGGAAAAACCAGTGGGGAATTTTAAATATACGAAAACAGTCTGCAGTCCAGGGGAAGGAGCGTGCCTGCCCTGCTCTCGTGGCCTTTCCCCCTGGTGACCCCACCAGAGGAAGGAGGTTTCCACAGCCCAGCCTGGATTTCTGCTGACAAATCCTCCAGGTTCTTGCCTGGGATGAAGGGAAATGTGTCAGCTCTGCCCCCAGCACCCAGGCTGCCCTGGAAGAGGGGTCCATGTTTGGGCTTCTGCTCAGAGCTGCTATCGGCTCAGAAATCTGCAAGTGAACAGGCTGAGCTGCTTATCTGTGCGTTATGAATCTTTGTCACGTCAGGGTTTTCCTTGAAGCTCCAGCTGCTGCAGGCTTTGCACGAGAGTGGCAATTTGTAGCTTAAAATTGGGGTTTGCCCAGTTGGCGCGGGAGGCAGGGGAAGGCAGATTTACTGGCAGTGAGGGCAGCAAGGAAGCCTCAGCCCCGTTTCGTCACAGGTGAGCTGTGGATGTGCGAGGTTTGCTGTCGCCGTAAAATCCCGGAATGGTTTGGGCTGCAAGGGCCCTTGGGGGTCATCTCATTCCACCCCTGGACACCTTCCCCTGTCCCAGGCTGCTCCCAGACCTGTCCAGCCTGGCCTTGGGCATTCCAGGGATCCAGGGGCAGCTCTGGGAATTCCATCCCAGCCCCTGCCCACCCTGCCAGGGAAGGATTTCTTCCCAGTATCATCAGTGCCATGTTATAAACACATCCATGGTGATTTTGCTCCGTTAGCCTGGAGTGCAGCTCCTGAGGGAGAGCAGGAGGGTCCTCACCTGCCACTGCACAGCCTTTAGCGATGCCTCAGGTTTAGCTTTTCTATTTTTCAGGTTCTGTGCTGCTTTAGTGTGTGGGTCTGGGTTCGTATTAGGGCATGGTGAGCTCTGTGCACAGAGCAGGGAGACAAAACAATTCCTGCTCTAGCTGGGCACCAAGGACAGATGATCCAAATCTCAGGCACAAGAGCACAAACAGTGTGGAATGAAGAGAGAAAAACAAGGATGGGACTGCATGGACTGGGGCTGGAATTGGACAATGAGCTCCAATCTGCAAATGGAGCAGAACTTATAAAAATGTGAGACCCCATGACCAGGTGTCCATTTTGGGACCATTTTGGTTCATCTTGGGTGCAGCCCTGGCTGGGCTCTTGTGCTGCCCAAGGTGGATCCATTGAGGCCCTTTAATAAATCCCTGCTTATTAATTAACTCTGTCCACCTTCTGTTCTAGGTCAGCCTTCACAAGGCATCATTAGAACTGATGGAACTGATGCATCAGGTGAAAGAAATCATGTGGGGTTTGTGATAAAAATCAAGAGGGTTTGCAAGAATAGAAGCTGCGAGGGAAGAGCTCACTGGAAGTCAGAGAGGTGAGGGTGGGTGCATTGCCCACAGCTTCCAGAACAAACACAAAGTTCTACAATTGGCTCTGGCTTTAGAAGGACGTCAGATCCCTCAGATCAGACCCGTGATGGAGGTGGGTTGATGCCCAAAGCCAAGACTGACTGAATTCCCCTCTCACACTGCTGAGACATGCAATTTGTGGAGAGATTCTTCAGATGAGTCTGATTTCTGTGGTTTCCTGGAGTCTGGTGTCAGGCTATAAAACCTTGCTGGGAGCAGGACGAGACCCCAGCAGCTGCTCCACCTCGAAGGGGTCCACAGAAGGCTGTGATGGAGCACCTGCAGAGCCTCCTGCTGCCCCTCCTGCTGGTGATGTGCCCCCCAGTCAGCAGCAGTAAGTAGAGTGGGCTGGAGGAGAGGCTTGGGGAAGGATAAATCTCAGCCTGCGCCCTCCAAAAACCTCACCCCCAGCCCCATCCATTGCAGATTATCCCTGGAAGTGGAGGGAGAGAGGAGGAGAAGCCAAGGCACCTTCCAGGACACACCCCACACCCTACCTGGCCTTTCTGCAGGGGAAGGACAACCACTCCTGTGGAGGCTTCCTGCTGGCTCCTGGCTGGGTGGTGACAGCAGCCCAGTGCCTCGGGTAAGTCCTTGCTGTGCCCACAGCACCTGCACAGAGGTGTCAGCCCCACAGGGCCTGGGGACCCCCTCCTCCAGCCTCAGCTGGCTCTTCCCTGGCAGGCAGGACAGGGCAGGGCAGGGCTTGGGGACAGCCCTGAGCCCCTTCTCCCTCCCCAGCCCACACTCTGATTTACCCTGATTTTTTCCCCCTCTTTGACTCATTTTTTTCCCCAGATGTCAGCAATGGGAGGTCAGGGTGGCTCCTTCCCTGACCTGCTGTCAGGCTTTGTCCTTTCTGCCACCAGCTTGTTTGTTGGCACAATTATTTCCTATGAAATATATTCCTATATTCCTAAGAATACTCCAGCTGCTTGCCCAGCCCTTTTCCACCCCTCCAGCTGGGGTGTGGATGGGCAGGAGGGCTTTTCCAGGTGTGCACAGCTCAGGGTGTGGATCCCACACAGCTCAGGGCTGCCAGCCCTGCCCCGTGCCAGCGCCAGGCTCAGGGCCAGTGCCACACCTGGGCAGCAAAAGGGAGGAGCCTGGAGGCCTGAGCCTCACCTGGGAGACTGCACACACCCAAGGTCCTTTCCAATCCTCCTGAGGCAGCGCTTTCTGCAGGTGATGTAGAGGACAGAGAAATATCCTGAAAGGCCACTGAAATATCCTGAATATCCAGGCTCCTGAACATCAGTTTAGAAGCCCCCCACACAGCTCAGGGCTGCCAGCCCTGCCCCGTGCCAGCGCCAGGCTCAGGGCCAGTGCCACACCTGGGCAGCAAAAGGGAGGAGCCTGGAGGCCTGAGCCTCACCTGGGAGACTGCACACACCCAAGGTCCTTTCCAATCCTCCTGAGGCAGCGCTTTCTGCAGGTGATGTAGAGGACAGAGAAATATCCTGAAAGGGCCCCTGAAATATCCTGAATATCCAGGATCCTGAACAACATGGACTTCCATGGGGCTGTGGAGCCCAGAACAAGCAGCAGTATTGCATCAAGTGTGCCCAGTTTGAGGTCTGGGCACTGAGATAAAGGAGATAAAGGAGAGATAAAGGACATAAAGGAGCCCTTGCAGAGCTCTGGTCTGTCAGGTGGGAGCTTGCTCTGCCTCTTGGCTGGGCAGATTCACTGGCAGAGCTCCTTGCTCCCACCATTCTTCTTTAAAAGTGCTGGATAATAGATTTTGTGCATAGGGAATATCCATATACACTGTACTGTGTAACTGCACTCTGCTGGCCATGCCCTGGGGGATGAACCTCGATGTCCCCAGCTGAGACAGGGACAAGCTGGTGACACCACTGCGCTTGATGTCACCAGGCACAAACCTCTGACTGTCATCCTGGGAGCCCACACGCTGCAAAGGAGAGAGGAAAGCTGGCAAACCTTCCAGGTGAAGGAGTACCACTGCCACCCAGGCTTCACAAGCCCCAGGGAGGGGAACGACATCCTGCTGCTGAAGGTAACCCCATGTGCAGGGCTGAGCTGCAGGGGACAGCGGGTCCCAGGGCAAAGCCTCACCTCTGTGTTTTCTGTCCCCTTGCCCAGCTGAATGGCAATGCCACCAGCAATGGCCACGTCAGGCCCATCTCCCTTGAGAAATCCAAAGTTCGGGGGGGGACCGAGTGCAGCGTGGCTGGCTGGGGCTACAGGACAGCCACTGTCACCATCATCAGACAGAGGGACTGCCTCAGCCACTACCCAGGCCTGGCTGACAACCTGATCTGCGGCCGCAGCAGATCCTCCAGGGTACCTGAAAAGGTCAGTCTGCTCAGGGAGGAGCAGGAGGAGGGCGAGGTTTGAGCCAGGGACAAAGCACAAGGAGAAGAGGATCCTTGTCTTCTCATGGCACAGGGTCTGGGAGTCCCAGCAATGGCTTGGCCAGAGGGATTCACCCTGAGCCTCACTGTTGGTCTGAGTGTGTTTTGTATCTGGAGCCAGCTGAAGGGCAGAAATGAAGTTTCAGTGTTGCCCCAGCTGGGAACCAAACAAAGCTGTCACCAGCCCCTTGTGCGGGCAGAGTTATCCCCATGCACTGAATCCAGGCTCCTGCTGGGGAAATCCTGCCCTGATGTTTGCAGCCTCCCTCCCTCCCTGCAGCTCCCACCACCCAGCACTGATCTCTCTCCTCCTTTCCACAGGGTGATGCTGGGGATCCTCTGGTCTGCAACAACAAAGCCTTTGGCATCTTCTCCTACAGGCACAACAACTGGCCTGGCTTCTACACACACATTGCCCCTTTCCTCCCCTGGATCAACAGTGTCATGAAGTCCTCGTGACCCTGCTCCCCCTGCAGAGCTCGCCCTCCAGAGCCCTGTCCTCACCAGCTTTCCTTTCCTTTCTCCCTGGAAACGTCTGCCACTGCTCCTCGTGGATGTGGCAAGGACTTCTCCGTGGCCAGGCCGAGCTCTGCCCGCGCTGGGCTGGCACAGAGGGGGTGCCCTGGCTGGGTTTGTCCCCTCTGCACGCTGGGCTCCTTCACTGCTGCCCTGGCTCAGCCCTCTGTGGCTCCAGCTCTGGAGAGGAGCCCAGAGAGGTGCCAGCAGCTGAGGGGGTGTCTGGAACCCTCAGGGGATGCACGAGGATCAGAGGGATGCACAGAGCAGCCTGTCATTTGTGCCATGTCTGGGTGTCCTCTGCCCAAGCCCTGGGCTACAGGAGTGCCCAGGCTCCAAGGAGGACACTTCCAGAGCTTCACTACTGCTGTCCCTCCCTCTGAAACCTGCTGCCTCCTCTCTCCCCTCTCCTGTAGCTCCAGTGTTGTAAGAGCACATAAAAACAATAAATCTCATCAGCATTTGAAAGCCTTTTTTCTGGTGCAGTTTGGATTTCTCTGGGCCCCTGGCTGCAGTGCTGAGCAGCTCAGGAAAAAGCCACAGCTCCAAGAGCTGAATCCCTGGCTGGAGGTTTCTACCCCAACCAACAGCCTCCCTTTTCTGCCCTCTAAACCTCCAGAGCAGATGTGCAGTCTGGACTGCAGGGCTGGGGCTCTCCTCACTCCCTCCAGGGACCTCCAGGCTGGTCCTTGGGGGGGATTTCCTCTCTCCCATCCTCTCCCCCATGGGCCCCTCTCAATTCTACCCCATCCCAGCTCTGGCTGCCATTCCACACCAAACCAGCATCTTCCTCCCCCCAGTGCACCTCTGTCACTCACTGAGGCACTCTGAGTCATCTTTTGAGGGAAGCTGGCAGCAAAGAGAGGAACCACAAAGTCCCACCATGCCCTGACAGTCAGGAAACATTTTATTTCTACGTGTTGTGGGTTAAGACAAAAATATAAACCCCTGCCTTTTCTACAATAGAGCTTAAAAATATTGCAACCTGAGGAAATTAATCTGGAGATTTGGCAAGAGACCCAGCAAAGAGGAGCTCAAATGCTTCCGTCAGATGTTTGGGATTTCATCTACAAAAGCACATTTCTGGGGAGTGTTTGCCTTTCCTTACGCTCACCTCTGCCCAAAGGTGACTTGTCAGAGGCCATTCCAACATCTGTGGCAGCACTGGATACAAAAAACGAGGACAAAGATGTGAAGACTCCAAATATTTTCCAAACCTTATAATTCAAAATGTCTAAAAGTCCCCAGGTCACTCACCTGACTAAGAAAAGCTGCAGCTGAGCAGAGTTATCAGTGGTTTTTGCTGTGGGTGATGTTGCACAAGGAAAGCACCTCTAGCACATTTCTGCTGAGTTTTCCATGCCCAGAGTGCCCTCTTTGGGTTGGCAACAGGGTGTGTTCTTCAAGGTTCTGTCTCTAAACAACTTCCAAACTGATCCAATACAACTCACCTCCTCCAGTTTGGAAGCAAATTCATGGCTGAGCTGAGGAAAGGCACCTCTTCCCCCCAGGGTTCTTTACATCGTTTATTCTGCCCTGAAGCAAGGGTTGCGAAGCTGACATTGAGCAGAGAGTTTTTTTTTTTTTCTTTTCTATTGAGGATTCTGCCAAATCCTGCCCAGAAGAAGTTCCCATCCTGTGCAAAGATCCTGTCACCTCTTGGGGAGCTGGAGACCAAAGGCCTGAGTCACTGGGAGGGAGGATGGGAACCAGCAGAGCAGGAGAGACCTGTCTTTGGGGAGCTCCATCAAAACACCATTTATTTCCATGGCCAGCAGCTACAGATCCTCGCCTGAGATGAAGGGAGGAGCAGCTCCAGGAGCAGAGCACAGGACAAAGAACAGCCCTGGGCAGAGCTGAGGTCCCTCACAAGCCACATCCTCACCCAGCTCAGCAGCTGGGGTTACCCAGAAGCTCCACACAGCCCAAGTGTGGAGTCTCTGTCACAGTCCGGCCACAAAAACTCTTCAAAAGCCATGAGTTCTCCACCCACAGTGGTGGAGATGCTACAAAAATTGCTTGTGGAGGCTTAACTTCCTGGTCAGGCTGCGTGGCAGGAGATAAAGCAGCAGGAGGACAATTATACCGAACTGGTATCACTGGAGAGCACACAGGAAACAGCCTGGGGTAGGACAAGCCCTGGCTGAGCCCAGGGCTCAAGAAGCTCCTGACAGAAATGTTGTTCCAACAGCAGCTGCCATTCCACAGGCCAAGCTGCTCCTGAGCTGCACATCAGCTTCAGAGCCCTGTGTGGGGTCAGGATAACACACAAAGAGACCTGGGGTAGAGGAGGGAGGGATTATATTCCTGCTTTATAAATTCCACATGGCATTTTACTTTTGTGGTGGACAGGTATTTCCCTCTCTTCCCCAGAGGGCAAAGGGAATGCTCAAAGGAAAGAGTTTCCTCCTGCTGGGAGGATGATGGTTGTCCAAGGACCAAGCAAATCCCAAACTCTCTCCTCTTTGCCTTTTCCTTTCACATGGGATTGTTTTTAATATGAAAAATATGAAAACTTCTTTCCTTCATGCCTGCTTTACCCATGAGCACAACGCCAAGGACCTGCTTTGGTAGGGCAGGGACATCCAGTGGCCAGGTTTAAAGCGATTTGCAGCAGCCCTGGGCCAGCTCACCTTATCAGGACACTCCCCTGGCCCACAGCCCAGCCCTGGCAGCCCTTTTTGCTGAGTCCCTCCCTCTGGAGCAGGCTGGAGGCCAAAGGAATTATCCAGGCAGTGGAGGTGCCTCATGACACAGCCTCCCATGTTCCCAGGACCTCTCCTGGCAGGATGGGCACAGGAGGAGCTGAGAGCTTCTGGCCCCAGCTGCAGAGCTGGAGGTGAGGAGGAGCTCTCTGTGCTGCTGGGAAAGCTTTTTCCAGCCCGGGCTGATGCCTCAGGTTTAGCTTTTCTATTTTTCAGGTTCTGTGCTGCTTTAGTGTGTGGGTCTGGGTTCGTATCAGGGCATGGTGAGCTCTGTGCACAGAGCAGGGAGACAAAACAATTCCTGCTCTAGCTGGGGACCAAGGACAGATGATCCAAACCTCAGGCACAAGAGCACAAACCGTGTGGGCTGAAGAGAGAAAAACAAGAAGGATGGGACTGCATGGGCTGGAGCTGGAATTGGACAATGAACTCCAACCTGCAAATGGAGCAGAACTGATCAAAGTGAGAGACCCCGTGATCTGTTGTCCATTTTGTGCCATGCTGCCCAAGGTAGATCCATTGAGGCCTCTTGATAAATCCCTACTTTATTCTTTAGCTCTGGTCTCTGTTCTAGCTCAGCCTTCCCAAGGCACCAGGGCTGGAGTGCTCCTTGGGAAAGCAGCAAGTGTGAGCCTGCTGTTGATGGGCTGCTCCCTCCAGCTGCCTCCTTCCCTGGGCTGCTCCAGGGACAGCCCCTGGCACTCCTGCAGGCTGCAAAAGGCCTTTAACACCCAGTATTTTCACCCAGCTGGAAATACTGGGTGTTAAAAGCTTCATTTTTTTTTTTGTTTTTTCCTTGAAGAGCCTCAGCTTGTTGCTTTGCTTTGTTTAAACAGAGCTTATTTGGCTCTTTGCAGAGAGCAGCACAACATGTGACCGAGGACACGAACACTGACTGCTCCCCAGCTGGTGAGGGGACAGAGCCTCTGAGAAAAGCAACAAAAACTCATCCGAAGCTAGAAAAGTGACAGTTCAAGTCCTTGCCAGTGCTCTGGCCACCACACCACTGCTCCCTTCCTGGTGGGAGCCAACAAAATGTCTCAGGCTGCCCAGGAGCTGCAGCTTCACCTGTGCTAAGTGACCTTGAAGGGAGCAGAACATCCTCAGCTGCAGCTTCCTGAAAACACAGGAAACCTTTACATAGAGGAAATTGGCCATCTCTACCCACTCCCAGCTGATTTAATGCAACATTCCTGGAGAATGAGCCCAGAGAAAAGGAATTAAGCTCTATAAACTCCATCTCAGGAAATCTCTTTGTGGAAGTTTTCACAGTCACCCAGCCCTGGACTCCTTCAGGGATGATTTTAAGCCATGTTTCGTATTTCTGTTTCTAACAGACAAGACTGGAAGCAGTTCTGGTCCCACCAACATTCCTGCTATTGGCAACAGATATCCTGCTTGGAATTGTGCCTGCAACGGGCTGACACCACAGCAAGAGGCAGCAGCAAACACCAACAACTTCCCTCAGCAATCCTCCTCCAAAATCCTGGAAAACTTCAAATCAAGATGCCACCACTGCATCCCTGCACCTTAAACCCCCAGCCAGACACTGCTCACATTTCAGAGTTAATGGCACAGTGCATTATATATAATTATGGCCTATTATGCCTTTTATTTACCAAAACATGCTTTGTTTCTATGCCTGAGAATCCTGATTTTCTGAGAGGAGGCAGAGCTGCAGCTCCCACAGGGTACCAGGGAGGAGGAGAGGGGAAGACAGGAGAGAAGAAACACACACACAACCACCACGGCTTTTAGGAACAAAATTTATTCCAATTTCAAACAGAGAGTTTATTTCAGGAGAAAGATATGAAAATCAATTTCCATCAGATATTTCTGTAATAAGCGTGTTGCCCAGCAGTCAGAGTGGGATCATTCCAAGAAACAATCACACTCCTGGACTGGAATGAGACAGTTTGGAGTCTGAATAGATCCTGACACTGGGCATCTTATTCAGAAACTCCTTTACCCTACCCTCTTCCCTCCCCGCCCCCCAACACGCACAACAATACATGCATTGCAAATGACAAGGTTTAAAAACAGCATTTTATATAGTATTCTTTTTAAATAGGATAATGTTTAAATTGTCTTAAATCAGGATCCTATAATATACAAGTATAACCAAATAATTTCCACCACATTGGCACTTGTAAAGAGTCTCTGGCACTACTAAAGAAGGGGCATTGGCACAAACCATACTCTTAAAAAACTGGGTGCTGCATAACACACTTTATCTCT